TCAAATAAGACACTGAAATTTTAAGTCTTCTACAGTATGATTAGCCCATAATCAGTCTTATCTCCAACCATGCAAATTATTCTCAATATTCCCAAAACTTAATGTGCACATTTAAGAATTCTGTGCCTTTCCTCAAGTTATTCTCTTTGCCTTACAGAAGCTTTCTACCCTCTTGTCCAGTTCATATGGGATTCCTTCACAGTTGATTGGAAAGAGCTAATGTCACATCCTACTATCAATTTTCCCCGACCAGAATTAATCCCGCTTCACGTTATTCTTTCACAAATCATTACTCAAAACTACCTGAAGACTCTCCCTGGCCTTATGATTGTGCAGAATGATCTCTATACTATGAGGCTTCTGGAGCTATGTAAATACTCTAACAGGGTACCTGGCACTAAGAATATAAAATTGAAGTCTTTTAGATTGAATTCTAGACACTACACATTTTAAAGTACAAGTGGTTTGATAAGCAAACATTTCAGTAAATATATACATATTTTTTTTTCATTCTTACAAACTTAAGAAGTCATTTGTTTAAGACTACTCACTCATATATTTTCTACATTCATTAACCAGAGGTATTTACCTCCTACTCAAATAACCAGTAATGGTTTTGTTCACAGACATTTAAATGTCTACTCCTGTAACTATATTAGCATGATACTACTGGTGGTCTGGTTATTTTAGCTGTAAAAAAAAATCTATGAAGTCATTTATTGAATCAGATATTTTATACAGTATATAATTTCAAAAATATCTTAATTCAAGTATTTATAAAAATTATCAATTAAAAAGCTATTCCTAAAAAATCCTTCATTCAGAGAAATACAAAGTATACTTGATATCATAAAGTGCCAATTTTTTAAAGATTATATTTATTTATTCATGAGAGACACACAGAGAGAGGTAGAGACACAGGCAGAGGGATAAGCAGGCTCCCTGCAGGGAGCCCAATGTGGGACTTGATCCCATGACCCTGGGATCACAACCTGAGCCGAAGGCAGACACTCAACCACCAAGCCACCCAGGTGCCCCATAAAGTCGCCACATTTATCATCTGGTGGTCTTTTCTACCCATGGCATATTTGTAAAAACAACTGAAGTAGAGTCTCTCAAGAAAAGCCCATTTTACTTAAAATGGCCATTCATATTAGCATGGCTCAATAAACCTGACAACCTGGAAAAAGTCATACAATTTCAAATGGATATAAGTACAATTTTAATATACAGAAATAAATGGTAGTTTAAATATTGTAAACTGAAACATAAATTGTTTAAAGATTTAGTTATTTAAGAGAGAAAGAGAGAAACGGTGTGGGTATGCGGAAGAGAAAAGAAGGGAGACTCTTGAGCAGATTCGATGCTGACTGAGGAGTCGGATGCAGGGCTTGATCTCACAACCTTGAGATCAAAACTTGAGTCGAAATCAAGAGTTGGACACAACTGAATGTACCAGTCGGGCACCCCCCAAAAACTATTTCTAAGATATCAAAATACTGTTATTTATAATAGTAGTAGGAATATAAATGTTTAGTACAGATATAATATAGACATTAAAATTCCATTTCACTTGATTATTAGGAACATTATGTACATTGAAAGTGTTGAATAATTTCTGAGATATTTGTGATCAACAACAGTATAGTTTGTATAACAGAAAATATTTCTAAAGCATAAGGCTTAAGTGGAAGAAATCAAAACAGTCATAGCCTTGTCTTATCTTTGCATATGTGAAGGATTTCATGAACATTGCAGCATTTCTCAGATATAGGTAGAACCAGTTTTTTCATTAAGTAACTATGTAAATTTGGACATATTACTTAAATACGGTCTCTGCTTCATCTTTTGTAAATGGGGAAAATCATTCTCAGAATTTCTGTACTCTTTGAAAGTGCTGAATACATATTATTTTTAGAAATGTTATAAATTAAGTTTCTATAGATTTTAAATAATTTAATACTGATGTCGAGATGATTTTCATTCTCACCATTTTCAGTAGTCTTTTTCAAAGTTTTTCATCCTCACTGATTATTTCCTTATTTGTTTTAACCTATAAAGAGCATTAAATAAACTCATTTTCCTCAGTAATATACCTGCTTCACTAAAAGAGAAATTGAAGTTACACACTTTCTTTAGAACTTACATAGGTCATCTATCCATTTTATTGTTTCCCTGGATTCAACTTTGTTTCATCTAATCCATGTAGCTTCAATCTGTATCTATTACAAACTATGTCCATCAGCTCTCATTTTCAAGTATTTCTACTGCTTTCACTTGCTATGTATGCACTATTACTGGAGGATAATCTAAAAGTAATATAGCTCATTCCTACATTGACATTCCAAGGTAACTGAGTATTCAATTTACGTATTAATGTCTGAATCCTCATGTGACTTTTCCCTCTGTATTTTATACATATTGGTCACTGGCCTCTATATTTCCATGGTAGAATTTTACAGGGAAAAAACAACAACAACAACACACATTTGTGTAGAAGATTAGTTTCTGCATGGCTTTGAATTTTTGCTGCACTAATTCCTAGCTCCGTGACTTTGTAAAGGTTACTTAATGTACCTGAGTCTCAATTTCTATATCTTTCAATGGAGTAAAATTATTATTGATTTCTAGGACTCATGCAAGTAAACTGCTTTGAACAAAGCTTAGCATATGGTAAATGCTTGACAAGTATTAACCATCTCTTCCTTTTCCACCTATTCTATCATACTCTTTCCCTCCCATATTCTCCTTCCTCTCGTTTCTCTCTTTCCTCCTGCAAATCCATGGCTGGTGTCCAATACATCCATCTCAATCAAGTACTATGTTTATCAAAGGGAGAAAAGAAATCTGAATCAATTATGCAAATGTAAACAAAAGTAATTGGCCTTTCATGGAGTTTCCAACGCCCCTCTCTGCTATCACTGATGAGATAAAGATGCAGGCTTTACTAGAAATAATTTTGTTTGAATTAAATCCCATCACTCACTATTTAGCAGCCTATAACTTGGTATTTTTTGTTCCTTACTCTCTTTAAGACAAGGTTTCTCCAACTGGGAAATAGAACAGTAAGGTTATTTCAAAGTCTGTAAGTCCTTGTGTCTCCTCCTTACCAGTTTGCTTTGAAATTCAGTTTGATCAAGACAAATACAATCACTGGGGAAGGGATGTAATTCCTTCTGTTCCTCACATGATTCTTTGGCCATGATTACAGAAGGCCAGTGATAATACAATCACCAATATGTTCTTGTCATTTTTTTTCAAACACTGGAAAAGTAGTGCTTATAAAGTTTCAAGTTATAAATTTATAAGTTCTTATAAATTACTTTGTATACTGAGAAAGGAAACATGTATACATCTTGGAAGGGAATTTAAAAAAAAGTTTCATTCTCTTCTTGAAAGTAATTAATAAATTTGGCATGCTTAATACAGTCAATAAATAATAAATATTAATGTTTAATGAAAATAAGATGATGAATGTACAAGTATAATCTCAGTTCAAAGAAGTATTTTCAGAAATGGTTTGATGAGAGCTCTATGAGAATAAAATGAGAATTTCAGAAAAAATAAAATCAGTCTATAAAACAAACAAATCTAAAGAAACAAATAGCCTGTTGAAAAAAGACAGGAAGATGTAACTCTTTATAGAAATTTACAGATGAAAACACATGTTAAATGAGTAACTATTGATTTAAAAGGTCAAATTCAAGCAATAATATTTGAATGATTCTAAAAAATAAAATAGTTTTTGGTCAACTTCATTTAGATTTAAATTTGCAGATGTAATAGAAAAGGCAATGCAAGAATCTGATGACTGAGAAAAATATAATTTCTTAAAAAAGGAAGAAAAGCTAACCCAAGTATACTTGAGTAACGGTTGACTAGCTCCATTACTGAAAATTTCACTTAATAAGACAAAACTTAAGTAAACTTCATTAACCACCCTTTTATTTTAACTTGAAATTAAAAAAAGAAGTAGAAATATATTGCAATGTCAGAATGATGCAAAATACATTAAACCATATTAAAAACCAATTAAAACCACAGCTAACATATCAGGACTTGAAAAATCAGTGTTTGTAAATTATGGACCCTTAAATTACACATGCCTTTCAAAAGCAAATACTCTCGGCTAACAAAAACCTAATCAAAATGTTTCTTTTTGTCAAGTTCAAAAAACACATACTACTTTAGTATACTCATATTTTCTAATAAAAACAAATCATTAATATCTGTAAAATCCACTTCTGATAATCTAGAGTTTGTTTATGGACAAATACTCACTAAGGTTACCAAATTTAATGAACCTATATTACAAAAAAACTGTCTTGAACTTACACACAGAAATTCTATGAGAAAACATACAAGAGACAGTGTAATATGTCACTATATTAAAGAACATATATTAGAAGGGGCCTGGTGCAGCAGCTGCCCTCCCGTGAGGTCAGCCATGGAGCCTGCTGACATTCGAGCCCTTCTGGTTCCAGAACTCAGCTGGAGCAGGACCTGGGAGCCACGGGCAGGGGTGGCTGAACCCTGTGCTCAGCTTCTATAGAGGACCTCAGGCCGTCAGGGTGGCATCTGCGCTATGTGGGATGGATGAGTGGGGAACCCTGGTTCCACTTAACAACTAAAGCCAACTCCTTCTGCACCCCTTGAATGTCATTTTGCCCTCCACCTTGGGATTTCTCCTGGAGCTCTTTAGTCTTGTGCTGACTTTCTCCTGTCCTTTTCCAGTCTAGAATAAGACCGGGCCGGTGGGGGGGGGGGGGACTTTGTATATAGAACACTGTATGAAAGAATGACTAATTTAAAAGAAAGCAAAGATTTTTATAGATCATTCTCATTGATTACAAGTTCTAATTGTACTTTAACCTTTTCTATGGAATTTTGGTAATTGTTAAAATTCATACTAACTAGAGCCCAAATGCATTGTTCCGTTTTCATAACAGATCCTAAAAACCTAGCAAGGATGAAAATTTTAAAAACATAATTAAACTTACCCCATTTAATGGATATGTTTTCCATCCTAGCTCTCCCAGTACAGTTGTTGTATCAAGCAACACAACTGAAATTAAAAAAAAAAAATTACATGAATTTCTCAAATGATGCAAAAATGTTATTTAAATCATTAATGTCAACTACCTTTACTATTATCCATTGCATTAGCTTTAATATGTTGAATTACTTACTTTACAACTGTGTATACCAGATATTAATATAATATTATTAAATAATATTAAATATGTGATGTACTTACAGCTTATTTTCAAAATATATAATTTGTGTTTAACAATACTAAATGAAATAGATAATTGAGAAACAGAATTAACAGTCATTTTTTTAAAGGTTTTATTTATTTGAGAGAGAGAGCATGCACACATACAAGCAGAGGGGAGGGGTAGAGGAAGAGGAAGAAGGAGACTCCCTGCTGAGCAGCAAACCCAACGCAGGGCTCAATTCCAGGACCCTGAGATCGTGACCTGAGCCAAAGGCACTTAACTGAGCCACTCAGGTGCCCCTTAACAGTCATTTTTAATAGCTGGCTTTTAAAACTGATGAATGTTGATAGAAGTAATTGAGATGATTGCCAGTTGACCCTTGAACTGGACCCAGGCAACAGGAGGCTCCTCACTCCCTTCCCCCATGCTCAGAATGTAAACTCTGCCCACAGTGGGAGCTGTTCCAAGGACAGAGCCTTGAAAGGGTAACACGTTGTTGAGACCACCTGGATAGTACACATGACTCAACCCAGTTAAGGCTTCTGTGCAAACTTGAAGATTCTGGTGGGTGAATATGGAAATCTTGCAGCTGCCCAAGACAAGTAAGTTCCCTTGCATATGAGCCCTCCCACCTACCAATTTGGAGTAGTCTGCCTCTTTCTGCAGTCTCTCTTGGCCTGCGTGAGTAGGGGACCAGTTTGTGAGCCAACAATTGAAATCATCACCTTTGCTTTCCCCACCACACTCATACATAGTCTTTTTATACTACAGTATAGAAAACCTGTATTAACGCAGGCTTCTGTAGCTTCTTTTAATGTTATTAAACAGCCTTATATATGATTTGCAAAGTATGAAAACTTATTTTTAATAAAACTATCTTTAAAGCATAGATTATATTATTATTATATGTGGGGGTAGACTGACAGCTAAGGGAGGCCAAAGTGAAAATAAAAAACCACGTGTCTTTTTCCCTGACCAAAATTTACTCATCATCTGGTCAGAAGGCAGACATAAAAACAAATGGTTAGAAAATATTCTGTTGAAGTTTTAAATGGAAGATTATATAATAGCCTAGCAATTAAGTTACTAATGTTAAAGCTAGTAGGGAGGTCTGGGAAAATTTCACAAAGAAGATGCAATGTGAGCTGACCTAGGACAAAGGGATCCTTCAGGCCGATGTGATAAGGAACAAATGGTTTACTTTCAGAATAAAGTAGCTGAGCCATAACTAAATCAGATCAAATGGGGAGGATTTTTGTGGTGTTTCCAGCAGGTAAAATGTGCAGGGCCCATGATTCAAATGTTAATTTTTAATTTTATTTTTAACTACTACCTCCAAGTCCCCTAAACGCCGTATGTCATGGATCATACTCTAAAAAACAAGGCTTTGGTATTTCATCATGAGTTTTAGATCTTCACATAGTTAAGAAAGTGAAGTTTACCATTTGTAGTTTTAAAACGTTCCACAGAGGGTAACGAGACACCAGACACACTGGAGTCTATTGTACGGATTCTGTGGTTTTTCTTATTTGAATCACAGGTTATGTCAATTTTTAAGTATGAAACCATGTATCATGTGTGATTTGACATGAACTCTAATTACTCACTGTAGAATATTCTTTCAGTACTGTTAAACTCAATTTAATAAATACACATTTGTAAATCTGAGTTGTAATTCTTTAAATTTTACTGCGGAAAATTCTCATATTTTAGAATGTAGAGAAAACAGTAAAATGAACCAACTTATAGTCCACCTTACTTCACCTGTACATCTTTAACCCACTCTATTTCACTGCAAAGTTTCTTTGAAGCAAATTTCAGTAATATCACCCATAAAAATTCCAGTATATATATCTAAGATAAAGACTTCTTTTAATATAGATATTTTAATACAATATCTTAATGTATTACTATAAGTAGTAATTCCTTAATGTCATCAAATATCCAATCAGTGTTTAACATCCCTATTGTTTCAACTTATTTGAACAGAAAAATCAAATTCCAAGTAAGTGCTATTCATTACAGTGAGTTGACATCACTCTTTGTTTTTTAATCCATAATTTCCCCCATAACTTTTTAAAAAGTCAGATCTACTGAGATATGATTTATTTACCAAAAAAAATCACACTTTTTGAATGTGTATTTCTATGAATTGTGGCAAACTCCCACAACCAGGTAACCACTGCTACAATCAAGCTATGGAATATTTCCATCACCCTCAAAATTCCCCTTGTGATCCTTCATGCTGAATTCCTTCTACAGCCCATCCCCTAGCAACCACTAATCTAATTTCTGTCCTTATGATTTTTGCCTTTCCCAAAATGTCCAAGGAATGAAATTATATAGCATGAAGCCTTTTGAGCTTGGTTCTTTCATATAGCATAACACATCTGAGATTCATCTATGTTGTTGCATTTATCAATCATCAGTTGCTTTTTATTGTCGAGAAGTATTCTATTATCTGTAATTCCCTCATTGATGGAAATGTGAACTATTTCCAGTTCGGGATGTTATAAATAAAGCCAGTAAAAACTTTCAAGCATAGATTTTTTTTATATGACCCTATGCCTTCACTTCTCCATGGTAAATAGGGATTCCTGGGTTATAGGGAAAATGCTAGTTTTTAAGAAACTGTCCAAATTTTTTCCAAAAATAGCATTATTGGAATATTGTTTTCCAGTTGCTTCACATCTTCAGCAGGATTTGGTGTTGTCTAAATACCAAATTTTTAAGGCATTTCAAGAGTTGTACAACGGTATCTCTTTGTTGTTTTAACATATTCCTTAATGACTAGCCAGTTATCTTTCTCACTACTTGAAATCAAATTTCCTGGAAAAACTATGTTACTTTGTTCCACATTCTAGGTTTTTCTAATTGTCAGATATAATGGAACATATTCCTCATTCCCTTTATTTTCTTTAAATTAGTAAATCTATTTAGTAGCTTGATCATATTCAAGGTTCATTTATTTTTATTTTTTATAAAATTAAAAGGAACATACCAATGTCTACTAGGGTCATGTCAAAAAGACTTGAGAACCAACTTCCATAGGCTCCCACTGGCCAAAAATGGATAATCTGATCATATACACAAGCTTAATGATATAAGGAAGTGAAACACTTCAACTATGTTCAAATCCCTTCATTTATAATGATAAAATACACCTCTGATAACTTTGCAAAATACTAGGAAAGCATTATTTTAAAAACTGGTAAATAATTTGGAAACAATAAAACATTTATTTTACTTTTTCTATACAAAATACAAATAAAGAGTTATGAAGGAACATTTCTTTTATTAAAATAGTTTAGGTAATAAATGAAGAAGGAATGACTGAATTAGACTATCTCATTTTCTACTCCTAATGAATTAATAGATTTAGCTAATGGTTTTCAATGGCTGCTAACATCACCTAAAGAGAAAAAAGGACACATAAACGGCTAGAGCTTTTTAAAAGTTTCTATATAGTTTCATTTACTCCCTATTAACATACATTTCTAACAAGTCTGGAAGAAAGTACAATAAGGATGGCATATATAATCATCACATGGATCACATGGATATATATATCTATATGGATAGATAGATATCCATATATATCTATCTATCCATATATATCTATCTATCCATATATATATATCCTATGTGCAAACACACACACACACATATATACACATTCATTCTCATACATGCACACAGATCATACAAAAACACTTGATGGCATTTGGGTTCATTCCGTGTGACAAAAATAAGTTCACATATTAGATAAAAAGCTGAAGATATCAATATAATAAATATTCAAAGCTATTGGCTTATCTCACTATCAAAGGAAAGTCATTTGCATTTTTGGTATATGCCATTGAAAAGAATTCAGAAGTATTAATACCAGTATGTACCTTTGGGTACTCAAAAGCTCAATGTTACTCATTGAGCATATTTACATTTTTGAAATACATCATTATTTCCCTACAGGTTGGCAAAATAGTTATACTAATTCACAGTCACTGTAGGAAAAGTTTTCTACGTATTTTATTCTTCAAGTAATCTCCACATTGTCCTATAAGTTGTTTCTTTTTCTTAATACCTAGTTTACAGAAGAGAAAACTGAGCCTCAGAAAGGTTAAGTAGTTTTCCTTGAGATCAGAAATAGATTTAGATTCCAACCAAGGACACTGATGCTAGGATGCCCTTTGTAAAACATTTAAAACCTTTAAACATTTTAGCTGTTTTTTTTCTTATCCTGTTTTAAATTTTTTCTTTAAATTCCAGTTAGTTTACATACACGATAATATTAGTTTCAGATATATAATATAGTGATTCAACACTTCCACAATACTTGGTGCTCATCACAAGGGCACGTCTCCATTCCCATCACCTGTTTAACTCATCCCCCATCCACCTCCCTTTTGGTAACCACCAGTTTGTTCTCTCTAGTTAATAGTCTGTTTCTTGGTTTGCCTCCCTTGTTCTCATTATTGTAGATACAGAGAAACAACACTATTTCTTTTGCTGATCCAAAATCTTCATAAGTTTTTATCCTAGTTTTCTCATCAATCCTTTCTACAGAAAATTTACCAGTACTACATACAACAAATCATGCCACGTAATTCAAGGGATTTATTGGAGCTGAGTGTTCAAAAATCTCTAAAAACTCTAAAATTGAATTTTACCAGCAGGGATTTGTTTTTCATAGATTGGCAAATTAATTCATTGGTTGATACAAATATTTTTTCTGAAACACTGTTAGGCTGCTTGGTTCTCAATATTTAGTATTTATAAACTGTGAAGTATATTCACTTCAAAACAAACAAAAAAGGACACTAGGTATATAACTATAAAAGTGCAG